GGGTGGCCCTGGACAGGGCGGGATGGGGTCCTGTCCCCTCCTGACCCATCCCGACCTGTCGTGACCCATCCCGGCACGTCCCATCCTTCCCCATCCCATCCCATCCCATCCCATCCCATCCCATCCTCCCCTGTCTCATCCCATCCTACCCCATCCCATCCACCCCGTCCCATCCCACCCTGGCTGCCTGCAGTACGCCATGCTCCTGTCCCTCATCTTCCTCATCGTCCTGGTGGCCGCCGTCGTGGGGTTCGTCTTCAGGCACGAGGTGAGTCTGGGCGGCTGCTGCTGTCTCCCGTTGTTGCAGAGCAAGTTTGATGCTGGTTTTAACCCAAGTGCAGTTGCAGATGTCGCTGGAGGGACAGAGGTGCTGCTGGGAGCAGTGCCTTGTTTAGCTAAAATGGGATTAAAACAGCTCGAAGAGCAGCTTGGTTCCTGTAAGGACCCATAAGGCCCCCATAAGGGCGAGGCTGGGTGCAGGGTCCGCCCGGCACGGCACGCTGCCCCCTCTACCAGAAGTAGCCCTGGACTTTAATTTCTGGCTTTGGTCTATCTTTTGCAATACTTTCTGTAATTAAAGCTCCTCCGAGGGTTCCTGCGCCTGCTTGGGGGGGAGTTGGCACTACACAGGTCCTTGTTATTACATGCAGCATCCCTGCTGCCACAGCACATCCCAGCCTGCCCTTTAATACACCGTCTAATTGCCTGGGTGGCCAGGGCAGCGTCTGCTGGCCGTGGCCGGAGTCATTCCTGCCATCGCCGAGAGGTGACTAATGTGGGGCCACGGGTTCTGAAGCGCGGGAGGGGACGGCACCGCCGCAGAGACCTCTCTATTGCAGATTAAGACAAACTTTGAGAGTAACCTCAACCTGGCCTTGAGGGACTACAACGTGACCGCAGATCGGCACAGCGAGGCCGTCGACACCATCCAGAGAACTGTGAGTGCCCCAGGCTGGCGTCTGGATGGCGGCGGGTGGGTATGCTCGACTCGCTCCGGGGTGTCCTGCGGGACCCCCTGCGGTATCGGCATCCTCGTCGCGGTGCTGGGGGTCCTTTTTTCACCACGGGCTTTTGAGTTTGCGAGGAGATGCTGGGTGAGATGGGGGCGGTTCCTAGAGAGGCAAGGGCAGGGGAGCCTTGGGAGTGGTTGTAGGACTGGGGGGTCGGTACCCTGGTGTGACTGTTCTCCCCAAATGTGCTTCCTTCTCCAGCTGCACTGCTGCGGGGTGCAGAACTACTCGGATTGGGAGAGGACCGAGTACTTCACCCAGAGGGGCATCCCCCGGAGCTGCTGCAAGAGCCAGGACGACTGCTCAGAGGAGGATCTGAAAGACCTGAGCAAAGCCAAGCTGAAAGTGTTTGTGGATGTAAGTTAAGCTCAGAAAAATCCCCCTGCCAGTCTTGGAGGTGGGGAAGGTAGAGCTGGGTGGGTGGAGAAGGGCTTGGCCTTCCCTGGGAGGCTCGAAAGGAGAACTGGTCTCTCGATGCAGTGGCTCGGGGACTCCCCTGGGTTGGAGGTAGGGGAAAGGTATGGAGGAACGAGCCCTCCGTCATGTGTGAGGTCCCACCCGACTCCTTCGTTGGAGGTCAGGGACTAGGCGGACCCAAGTGTTTGTGCTCAGGGCTGTGTGTTTGGGAGAACAGGTGAATAAGGAGGTAATTTCCTGGTAAAGTTAGTTTTGGCAGCGCTGATGTCTCTCGATGGCCGCCTCTCAATGGCTGTGGAAAGTCCTGACCCAGTGGTGAGCGTGGGTGACCTCATGTGGCAGGGACGGCTGGGTGATGCAAGGGACGTTCCTCTGATGAGTCACCTTGCTCAACCCAACGCTCTCGCTCTCGTTGGGAACAGCCCAAGGGCAGCACTCCCCTTGATAACGTGGCTGGGCTGGGAGGCTGGGTGGTGCAGCGCTGATAGGGAAATGACTTTGCCGAGGTCAGGCAGGAGGGTGGCAGCCAGATCCCTCAGCTGCCTGCGCAGGAGCATCTTCCCCTGGAGCTGCCAGTGCTCTGGGGAGGTGCCAGTTTGTGTTCCTGGGGGGCAAAAAGCACTGGAGCCACGTGCTCGCTTTCCCTCCTCTGCAGGGTTGTTTTTTCCTGGTAACGTCAACGATGGAGTCAAAAATGAGCGTTGTGGCTGGAATCTCCTTTGGCATCGCGTGCTTCCAGGTAACTCTCCCTTGCTGGCCGGCACAGGAGTGCAGAGTGAAGCTAGCGTGTCTCCGGACGTATTTAATTTCTGTGCAAAGTCTGGTGTGTGTACAAAAGGCACAGCCTGTTTCAGCCAGGGAGGAGCAGCTATTCTGCAGATTCCCCTTGGGTTTAATCTCACCGCTGTGCTGTCTCCAGTCTCTTAAACCCAGGGCTGTAGCACCAGCTCTGTTTCCGTGGGCCCAGGTTATTTGAGAAGAGCTCCTGTCTGAGACAACCAACTTTAAGAAAACCCAAATGGAGCCTGTGCTGTGCCGGGAGAACTCCCTGCATTTGCTGTTTAAATCACAGGATCAAATCGCGCCCTTCCTTTTCCTACCCACCGACCTTCCTTTTTATCAGGGAGGCGTTTTGGCATCACTTCTGCGTGGCTGGGTCCCTGTGAGCGCCCACGGGGCACCACTTGTGCTGGCGGCTCACGCCCCGCAGGCCACCTCACCCTGCGATTGCTTCCTCTCCCTCCCGCTCCCCAACCTCTCCTTCACTTTATCCTGTAGGACGCTTCCTGCAGGAGCAGCAGCAGCAGCAGCAGCAGCAGCAGCAGGAGCAGCAGCAGCAGCAGTGTTGCTGCCGGCGGGAAAGGAGAGGCCCCTGCCCCCAGCTCCACCACGCTGGGTGTCGAGCGCGCTGACGCCGCGGTGGGGTTTCCCGAGGTGCTGAGGGTTTTCTCATGCACCGCAGCGGGAGCTGCAGGATGCGTAGCCGGCCCTTCTTTAGCTGGTTTGTGGAAGCTGGCTGGGCTCTCGGTGCTGAGCAGCTGCAGAGCGAGCTCGGCTGGCCTTGACTTTGGAGGGGCTTGAATTCACGCGCCCCTTGATCCAGCATGCAGAGGCCGTGGCATGAGCTTCAAGGTGCTGCCCCCCGGGACCACCAGCTGACCGTGCCAGCACGGGGAGAAGGAACCCCGCCAAGATACTTCTTCTGTAATGAGCGTGTCACCATGCGTTTCCCGTAACGGATGCACTAAACTGGGGGAGAGGCGCGAGCCAACAGCCCCTGGCTGCAGCTTGCGCTACCAAATGCTTTTGGTTGCGGCCGGGAGAGCCCGAGAGCCGGAGCCGCTCTGCTGTGCCCAGCTGCTCGCCCCAGTCTCCTCCTCAGTTGGGCTGTGCTTGCCGTGGGGTCACTGAGACGTGACCAGCACACAGACGGTGAGCTGCACACTCCCAGCTGCGAAATTATCTCGGCTGATGCCAGGCTTGGGAATTGTAACCGGTTCCTGGCTTTTATCGCTCTTTGAGCAAGCCTTGCTGTGTCGTGCGGCCGGCAGAGACCCATCATGCAAATGTGCCTCTGACTTCACGGGTGTAGGTCAAACTCCTGCAGGATCTGGCCCTAAATGTCTGCGCAGGGACTGGGAGGCCACGTTGTGATAACAGTAGCGTGTCCTTCAGATGCTGATGCAAAAACAGCAACCTTGCTTCCCCGCTGTCCTTGCAACAGGGGGAGGTGGCTGCTGTTCTCTAGTGGCTGTGTAATTGGCTGTGACGCTCCCGATATCTGTGTAATCTCCGAAATTACCATAAAACAGTAGATGCTTCATGAAGCAAAATGTAACAGGACAGGACGCAGAGCATCTCTTGCAAGGAGCTTGTTTGGCTGATGCCCGCCAGGATCCTCTGCTTCAGCCTTGCTGTTACTCCGAAGCAGGGCGCAGCAGCCTGTGTTGTGGTTTGTAAATCCCACTGTTCATCTCTGTATTTTATGAAACTGATGCTCTGGAGCAATTTGTCAGGCTTTTCCCCTAAAAAAGCGCATCTTGGTTTTGGCTACCTCTGACGTGTGGGGTTTTTTTTCTCTTTTTCAGTTGGTTGGCATCATTCTTGCCTGCTGCCTGTCCCAGTACATCACGAACAATCAGTACGAGATGGTGTAGCTGGCCCCCAGCATGCTGTGGCTGTGGCCGGGTATGTCTGTCCAGCCACGTAAGCTTGGTGGGCTGCCTCTGCGTCCCTGGCTGCTGCCTGGTTGCCCCTGGGGACCTTCAGCACGGCGGCGGGTACCACTTTTGGGGGCATGTGGGGATAGAGGGCAACTGCAAGACTGTGTTTGCTACATCATTTTAAGATGTGTATAAATCCAGCCTTATCTGTAAACGCTTTGTCTTGTGCATTGCAGGGTATGCTCTCTGCGGCCAGGGAGGATGCCACCACCTCCAGTTTTCCTCTGAACGCCGCTTTGTGAAATCTGGCTTTGAACTGACTGATCTTCTTCTCAATTAGCTCATAGAAACGAGTGCAGCAGCTGTCCTGGTGCGCTCAGGGACTTGTCCTAACACTACTCTGCTGTGCCACCGCGTGGGATAATTAGTGTAGCTGCGGTGGTTACAGCAAGCGCGCTCCCCCGGGTGCCGCAGCCCCTGGCTCTCTCCTCGGCGGCGCGCGCGAGTGCTGTGCCGAACCGACTGTGCTGGCGGCCTCGCGGGACTCCCAGTCCTTGTCTTCGGTGCCTCTTGTCGGGAAAGCAATGCTTCCCCTCATCTCCAGCAGCCCCTCGATGTCCCCTCGCTCTCCGGACACGGTTGCTCTCGAGATGGGGCTGTTGCCCCGTTAAAACATGGCCCTGCCTGCCTGAAGCCCCTGGCTCAGCAAGGTCTCGGCTTGTTGCCAAGCTCTCTCTCATCCCTGCCCTGGGTTTTATATACTTTTTTATAGTTGTACTTTTTTAAGTACAGGCTGTAGTGATTCTTTGTAAGCTGTAGCGAGGTTTGGTGATGTAGCTCCTGGTGCCTTTACCTTGGTAGGTGTCCTTGCACCGAGTCAGCTGTGACTTGATTGTCAGTATTATATGCTGCTTTAACTCATTTTGTGTATTGAGTAGAACTCTTTTGTCCTGAGACACAATAAATATTATGATATTTTACTCTATGAAACCGCCTTAGCTTTTCTTTCCATCTTCTGGAAATTCCTCTGCTCGAGTCGCTGCAAAGAGCAGCCAACCCCCCCGGGAGGTAATCCGCTCACCCCGGGCCAGGCAGTAACCTCTGGACCATCGCAGCTCGCGTTTCTCTAATGCTCGCTGGTGCACTTGCGCTTACAAATAACTTCTGTAATTGAATTTTCTTCATAACAGCGGTTGTGTAACAGTGCTGAAGCAGAAGGCCTGGAGCATCCCAGCCCAGGAGCCGGGCAGATGAGTTCAGCCCCATGCAAACGCGTGCATCCTCTGCCGGCCAGCCGCTGGCTCGGAGCAAAGGGCAGGGCAGCGTTGCTGCAGCTGCCTGCGTCCCCAGCCTCTCCCCGGGGCAAGAAACATGGATTTAAGCTTTTGTGTTCGTCTGGTACTGCTCATCTTTGGGCTGTTTCGTCAGCAAGCCTTTGCCTTACTGAGCCTGATGCCACAGGGGTGTGGTGAAGCTCCCCTCCTGCCGAGCTTGGGGGATTTTCAGGTCTCAAGCACCGAACTCACAAGGGCTGTGGCTTGGAGCAGCCGGACTGCCGGGGCTGCCTGTCCTGCTCCTGGGGAGGAGGCAGGCCTAAAAGGAACGGTTAAGCCGCGGGCAGGAGTGGTGGCCCTTTGTCAGCGTCAGCCCTCTGGCAAAGGCTGCTCTGGTGCTGGGTGAGCTGCCCCAGCCAAACCGCCCCGTGGTGCAGCAAATGACCCAGTACAGGGCAGCCTCACTGCTGACGGAGGAACCCGAAGGGGAACACCTGAAATCCTTATGTCGCGTTTAACCCGGGTGAGTAAATCAGACTGCTGTCAGCGCCTGGCTGGCCAAAAGCCTTCTGGGTCGGGACGGTGAGGTAGAGTGCATCAGAGCATGGAAACCAGGTCGGAGAGATCGGCTGATGGCAATTAATGGATGGATGGAGGCAGGGCAGGAACACGTGAGAGGCAGGGCCAGGTTTGGATAAACCCATCCTCATCAGAAAGCCTGTGCAGAGGGAAGCGACCCTGCACTGGTCTGCGCTCCACCTCTGCAGGCAGCTTCCTTGCTGGGGTGGATGGCGGAGGCCATGCCGGGCGGGGATGGTGCCGGCAGAGGGTAGCACGGGGATCCCGGACGTTTCCGAGCCGCTGCAGGAAAACCAGCACTGACTGTCTGTACCGACCTGGGGAGCGCGGAGGCTTGTCCAGCCTGCTTGTCCCCATGGCCAGCGACAGGCACTGCGGCCATCAGAGGGTGCAGATCTTATCTAGTTAAATAGTGCTTATGTAGACACCTCGCTTTCATTTGGAGAGACATCAGTGACGTCCCGGAGGTACAGGCATGTGCTGGGGCAGATGCCAGGCAGACTTGGGACACTGCTGTCCTGGCAAAGGCATTGGATGCACCTTGGTGACCTGGCTGTACCCACCGAGCCGGGACACGAGCACCGCTGGCTGGCCCCGGGGCTCCGGTTTCCTGCAGCAGCTGTGGCCGGGTGGGGTTCACATGTCCCTGCCGTGTTCGGACGTCCCCTCTCAGGGGGATAAATGTCTCGGGGGACTTGTCAGAAATGCTTGGTGCCCCCAAGGCTGGTTGGTGTCCCTTGGGACGCCATGCAGGGAACTCTGCTGCACCAAGCTCCAGGCAGCTCCCAGCATTTTAACCATGTTGTCAGCGCAGCCGTGAACAGGGATGGGTGAAACTGCCCTTAAAACGTGCTCACGTCCCCATG